AGGTGAGAGCCTGTCTGGAACAATAAATAAGAGGTAAAGAGGGAGGGGAAGAAGTTTCTTGCAGTGGGAAGAGATTGGACTGGGAAGATGAACAAAGGTCCATATAGAAACTGGCCTTTAGAAACTCTTTCAAAGGCATAAAAGGAGTTTCCACTGTTTGCATAAAATATCTAGAAGAGAAGCATTATGGATCTTTAAACTGGGACCTGGTATGAATCCCATTTATTCCTTGAAGTCTATTCTAATTATTAAAATCCAAAGTGATCTTTTTCCTTCTCTGATTTTCAAAGCAATTACTAGCTATATTTAAGCAGGCTGACTGAATTCATGTATTTTTCTTATCCTATGGTCTTTCTCTGCTCTTGGTTCTTGACTTTTTGTGCCCACAGCACACACTCAAGTGCTATATTTTTGGCTTCAATGTGCCCAAAATATTAGGTCATAAAGTCTGAAATATTTTATTTTGAATCAAAAGTTAAGTTAGTTATATCTCAAACAGGAAGCAGTATAATTAATCAAAGTACACACCTAAACTATCAACATAGTTTGCTATCTTAATGGCAGCTTGTGTATGCCGGCATCAAAGAAGCCTAGAGAATGAATATTTTTCCTTGTAAGAAGTGATCCAAAGCCTGGAAAAAGTGGTATTCAGTTGGTGCAAGGTCTGGTAAATACGGGGGATGACAAAGAGTTTCCAAGTCCAGCTTCTGTATTTTGAGCAGTGTTGATTGTGTCCTGCAAGAGGATTGGCCTGACTCTATTGACCGACCAGTTTTGGGAAGCTGTAGTTGATAATACCAGTGTTGGACTACCAAATGGACACCATTATCTTTTTTGGATGAATATTTGGTTTTGGACTGTGTTTCAGCACTTAATCTTTATCCAACCATTGTGCCGAATGCTTATGATTGTCAAAAAGAATCCATTTTTCATTTTATATGACAATATGCTATAGAAATGGTTCACCATTATGTCATGACAACAAAGAAAGGCAAACTTCAAGATGATTTCTCTTCTGATACTTGTTTAATTCAGATGGTACCCACCTCACCAGCTTCTTTACCTTGCCAATTTGTTTCAAATGGTCCAGTAGTATTGGAATAGTGATGTCAAGCCTTGCTGAAAATTCACATGGAGGTTGAGATGGATTTGCTTCCACTGCAGCTTTCAGCTCATCATTATCCACCTTAAAATCAGGTCACCCACTTGGTACATCTTAAAAATCAAAATCACCAGAATAGCATTTCTCAAACCACTAGTGTACTGTGTAGTCATTAGCCACATCCTCCTCAAACACTTTGTTGATATTTTCAGGGGTCTGCACTGCCTTGTTTCCATGATGGAACTCATATTAAAAAATAACATGGATTTTTGATTTAGTCATAGTTTCACAAAAATTGCTCTGAAAAATTTGTGAGAGATAATCAGAGCCAAAATGTGTGTTGGAAAGAATGGGGATATATCTTCATAAATAAATAAAGAAAAAATAGGAAGTGTCAAAGTAAAATGTCAGAGATAACAACTATCAAATTTAGTATACAAGGAAATTGGACATTTCATATTTAATAACCTAATAGATTTATTTTAAACTACCTAGATGTACAGTGTAATTAGTACTCCAGTGGAACGATGACACTTAATATCATCTGTCTTAGCTTTTATATGCATTAAATTGTGCTGCGCTCTATACAACCTCAAATGACAACTCAGACATAAAATTCACATCAAAAATGAATATACACTTAGTAATAACACAAATTAATTTTATACATTGATCATAATTACAGGGCATAGTCCAGGCACAATGGCTCATGCCTGTAATCCTAATACTCTGGGAGGCCAAGGTGGGTGGATTGCTTGAGCTCATGAATTCAAGGCCAGCCTGAGCAATAGCGAGACTCCGTCTCTACTAAATATAGAAACACTGATGCAAAAGGATCTCCTGAGCCCAAGAGCTTGAAGTTGCTGTGAGCTATGATGCCCCAGTACTCTACTCAGGGCACAAGAGTGATACTCTGTCGCAAAAAAAAAAAAAAGAACAAAAATATGTGGCATATCAGTGAAGGGGACAAGTTTTCCTGGTGCTCAATGTTCAATGAAAGACATTATTTTAGAACATTGTGTGACCATTATTTTAGAACTCTAGTGACCTTGACTTAATGAAAACTCCTCAAGGACAAGGAGTGTTATCTATTTTTTTAAATTCCTTACAATTCCTAACATAATCCTGGATGTAGCATAAGGATGTACTTGAATTTTACATTTTTTATGACTTAATTCACTGTTTTAAATGATAAAATGTAGGCATCTAAAAATGAATAAAGAATAATATAAGCAATACTTATTTTTCCATATCTCAGCTTAAGAAACAAAACATTACAATGACAGTTGGACTCTGGTTTTACCTCTTCCCACTGAAAGGTAACCACTGCCTTCAATTTGGTGTATGTGACCCCCAAAATGCCTTTACATTTTTACTACAGTTGTCAGTAGTAGTCATAAGCAATATGTAGTATTGCTTGCCAAGTTTTAAAATGTTGCGTAAGTGATGTCATAATGTATTCTTTTTTTTTTTTTTTTTTT